ATATATTATATACACACAGTGAGATATACTGTGTGTATGTGTGTGTGTATATATATATATATACACACACACATACATACATACATACACACATGGTGAAAGATATTGGGTATGTAAACATTTATACATACAGTATGTATATGTATATATATATATATATATATATCACCATATATATGTGTGCGTATGTATGCATGCATGTATATATATATATGCACACATTCATACACGGTGAGATATACTATGTGTTTATGTATATATATACATACACGGTGAGATATATATACTGTGTATGTATACATATATATATACACACACAGTATGTGTATATATGCATCACCATATATGTGTACATATGTATGTGTGTATATATATATATATACACACACATACACATATACATACATCTATCACCATATATATGCGTGTGTATGTATATGTTGAGCTGCCCCCCGCTTGGCCTTGTTCCGTATCGAATTTCCCTCCGGGCCTTTTCCACTGGGAGCTTGGTGACCTTCCTTGCCTCGGCCTCGGGTTGATTCGTTAATTAATTAACCGGCATCACAGGCGGAAGGAAAAATTGGGTGCCAATTGGGGCAAAAATTGCCCTTGTTGCAAAGTTCCCTTGGAAAGAGCCCGCGCTCCAAAGAAGGTCTTTTGCATTTTGGTTTCCGGAAAAGGATCCAAAGGTTTGCAAAGTTGAGGACGGGCTGGCCATCTGTCAGGAGGGCTTTGATGGTGAGGTTGGACCGCATGACTCTCTTTTGGGGTGTCTTAGGATGGGAAGGACCTTTTGGGTTCCTTGCATTGGGTGCATTCCTTGCATTGGGTGCATTGCCTTTGCTTTGCACTCCTCCTTTTCATCCCTCCATTCCTGCTCTTCTCTCCCTGGGAAAGGAATGCAAGAGAAAGAAAGGAAGGTGCGGCCGGCCGGGAGAGATCTTGGAAGGGGATTAGTCCCCGATTGTGTGGGAGGAAACCACTGGAAAACACCCTCCACTGGGTTTCGGTGCATTGCATCCAAGAGAGGCTTTGGGCGCTAAGCAGGGCCGACCCTGGATAGCGTTTGGATGGGAGTCCGCCAAGGCAAGCCAGGATGTATTGCAAAGGGATCAATTGCCGAGATCTGCAACTGTTTGTGGAGGCTCCATTTGCAATGCCTGCATTGGAATAGTCCACTATCAACAATTATAATAAATATAATAATATAGATAATAACATAATAATATAACAATGTAGTCTAATATAATATATAATATAATATACACTTACATAATTATAATGCAATGCAATAATATAGTCTAATATATAATATAATAATGTAACAATATAGTCTAATATAATATATACTTACATAATTATATATTTTTTAATTTCCATTGCAAGGGCAGATGTCTTCACTGTGTCCGGTTGTGATCCCCAGGTTGTGCCAGTCGGCTTCCGTATGATATTGTTTCTAGCGCCCACTTTTTGCTTGATGTTCAGGCAATGCTTCTTGTAGGTCAGAGCAAGTAAAAAGTAAAATGTTCAAAAAGGCAAAAGTATACATCAGTGGTTCTCAACCTGGGGGTCGCAACCCCCCGGGGGGTCATTGGGCCATTTTCGGGGGTCGCGAAACTGCCTTGGTTGGCTCTGCCCCTGCCAAAATGGCTGCCGACCCTTGCAGTTTGGACAAGGGAGGGCTGCCCCCCCCCGCGCCTTTCTGAGTGTGGAAGGGCTCCACAGTGCTCTCTGGATGTAGGTGAACTACAACTCCAAAACTCAAGGTCAGTGCTCACCAAACCCTTCCAGTATTTTTCGTTGGTCGTGGGAGTTCTGTGTGCCAAGTTTGGTCCAATTCCATCATTGGTGGAGTTCAAAATGCTCTTTGATTGTAGGTGAACTATAAATCCCAGCAACTACAACTCCCAAATGACATAATTCTCCTCCAACCCCACCAGTGTTCAAATTTGGGCATATTGGGTAAGGTAAGGTAAAAATTTTCCCCTGACGTTACGTCCAGTTGTGTCCAACTCTGGGAGTTGGTGCTCAATTTCTCGGCCAAAGAGCCGGTGTTGTCCTTAGACACCTCCAAGGTCATGACGGCATGGAGCGCTGTTGTTGGGTATTTGTGCCAAATTTGATCCAGTGAATGAAAATACATCCTGAATTTGAGATTTTTTACATTATGATTCATAACAGTAACACAATTGCAATCGGGAAGTAGCAATAATAATAATTTCATGGTTGGGGGTCACCACTTGTGAGGCCCTGTATTAAGGGGTCGCGGCGTTAGGAAGGTTGAGAAACACTGGTCTAAAGGGAGGGGATTTCTCAGTAATCAATGTGCTCCCTTCTGCTATATATGAAACCTTGATTAAATGTACACACTATCTAACATGGGAAGGGTCGTTGTTGTTGTTAGTGTCTTGGCAAATTGACACTGGTGTCCTTGTCCTTGGCAAAACTATAAGTTACTATATTTTATGGGGGGGGGGGGAGGTCATGTTCGACTTCATTTTCACCCACCGATTTCAGGGAAGGAGCAGAAAATGCCTTTTTCTTCCTTCTGCCGTCCAGATCCGCCCTTGCAAAAAAAAGGATCCAGGGTGGGAAATAAACAGGACTTTGCAAAATTGCAGTCTCGTTTTGTTTGGCTTGGGTTTTTCGCCTCCAGATGTATCATTAGCTTGTGGTGCTTTGGGGTTGTTTGGAGGGTCAAGCCGCACGGAGACAGGGCTTGTTTACAAGAGGGGGGGAAAGGGGCCCCCGTTGTGTCCTTCCTTTATGGCCGAAGGGGGTCGGACTAGATGCCCTTTGGGGGTCCCTTCCTCGCCTGGGAGTGTTTGAGTCTCAACGAGGAAGACGTGTTCATGCAAACCATAAACAAACAAAACACAAAGTTTGCAAGCTTGATAGTTGATTAAATGTCCTTTGAGCAGTCTCTGGCCCCTTGGAGTGCCTCTGGTGTTGCCGCAAGAAGGTCCTCCATCATGCATCATGTGGCAGGGCTCAGGGTGCATTGTAATTTGTAGTTTGCTCTTCTCCACATTCACATGTCATGGACTCCACTTGGTGGCCCCATTTCTTAAGATTGGCTCTGCATCTTGTGGTGCCCGAGCGCAGTCTGTTCAGCCCCTTCCAAGTCTGTGTGCCCAGGGGGGAGTCTCTCATTTGGTATCAGCCATGGATTTGAGCCTGCCACTTTTGGACTCTCGCTTGCTGGGGTGTTCCAGCGAGTGTCTCTGTAGACACTCGCTGGACCTCTGAGGAAGCTTGCCATAGATGCAGGCGAAATGTCAGGAGAAATGCCTCTAGAACATGGCCATATAGCCCGAAAAAACCCACAAGAACTGAGTGATTCCGGCCATGAAAGCCTTCGACAATACATTGTCTCTGTAGATCTTAGAAAACTATTTCTTGATTTAAGTCATTAACGTGACAGGGGATGAGCTGGAGGTGTCTCTGCCTTGGTCCTTTCACTATTGGCTGCTACTTCCCGGCGGATGTCAGGTGGCGCAATACCGGCTAAGTAGTGTAATTTCTCCCGTGGTGTAAGGTGCAGACACCCCGTGATCATGTGGCATGTCTCATTAAGTGCCACATCCACAGAGATGTGCTCCATACTGGGCATGCATACTCAGCAGCAGAATAGCACAGCGCAAGGGCAGATGCCATCACTGTGTCTGGTTGTGATCCCCAGGTTGTGCCAGTCAGCTTTCCTATGATATTGTTTCTAGCACCCACTTTTTGCTTGATGTTCAGGCAGTGCTTCTTGTAGGTCAGAGCGCGGTCCAGAGTGACTCCCAGGTATTTGGGTGCACTGCAATGATCCAGTGGGATTCCTTCCTTCCCAGGTAATAATCCTCAGAGCTCGGGATGCTTGTCTGTTCTTAAGGTGAAAGGCACATGTCTGTGTTTTAGATGGATTAGGGATCAGCTGGTTTTCCCTGTAAGAGGCAGTTAGAGCACCTAGAGCTTCGGAGAGCTTCTGTTCATCTCAAAGCTCCCTGCTTGAGTGGTGATGGCACGATCATCAGCATAGATGAATCTCTCTGTCCCTTCTGGCAGTGGCTGGTCATTTGTGTAGATGTTGAACATGGATGGAGCAAGCATGCTCCCCTGAGGCAGGCCGTTCTTCTGTTTCCGCCCTCTGCTTCTCTGGACCTGGAACTCAACAAAAAAGCTCCTGTTTTGTAGCAGGTTTCCTATGAGGCGGGTGAGGTGGTCGTCCTTTGTGATACTATACATTTTTCTCAGGACAATAACACATTGAAATATAACAATAGTAGCAATGATGACTGTGATAGTAAATAAAATAATAGTGCCCATACTTATAATAATAATAATTAATTAATAGAAATATCGCGGTCATGATAAATTATAAATAAAATAATAGTAGATGAACAAATATATAATAATAACACATTAAAATATAACAATAGTAGCAATGATAATTGTGATAATAAATAAAATAATAGTAAGCATACTTATAATAATTAATAGAAATATAATTGCAGTCATGATAAACTATAAATAAAATAATAGTAGATGAACAACCAATATATAATAATATATAATAATAACACATTAAAATTAAATGATAAACAAAATAATAGTAAATCAACAAATATAAAGTAATATATAATAAAATAATTGTAACCATACTTATTATAATAAATATAATTGTTGAAAATATAATCAGTCATGATAAATAATAAAACAGTAAATTATTATATTTATTATTTTATATTCGTTATTTTTATTTTATTAATTATTATATTTATAATGATAATATTCAAAAATAGTAAATTATTATTTTATGTATTATTATTTTATATTATTGTTGTTTTATTATATTTCATTATTGTTGTTTTATTTAATTTATTATATTTGTCATAATAATAATAATAATAATTTACTATTATTATATTGATCATTATAATTACCGTGACTGTTATTGTATTTTTATTAATTAATTATTATTATAAGTATTGTTTTATCTTCTTTATTATTATCACGACTATTGTTGTTATATATTTTAATGTGTAATTATTTCATTTTTAATATAATAATATGTTATTTTTTAGTATATTATTATTATTAATTATTGTATTTGTCGTAATAATAATTTACTATCATTTTATTGATTATTATAATTTTATTTATTAATTATTATTATATGTATTATGATATGTATTATTATTTTATCTRCTTTATTATCACAATTATCATGAGTATTGTTGTTATATATTTTAATGTGTAATTATTTCATTTTTAATATAATAATATGTTATTTTTTAGTATATTATTATTAATTATTATTTACTATTAATTCCAAAATCCAGGCGAAAAGAGATCTCAGATCCTGCTAGCAGGCAGCAGGCGCCACGTGTCTTTCTCCTCCTAGCCATTTCCGGACTCCATCTCCCAGAGTCCTCGGCCATTGCTGGCTCAGCGCCGGGAATGCTGGGAGGTGTAGTCCGAAGGCCTGCAGAGGCGCAGGTAGGCGGGGCGGAGGCTGGAGAAGGGGGCGTGCCGAGGGGGCGTGGCCTGTTTCCCGCCAAATGAATCCGGAAGCAAGATGGACTCCTTCTCCCTGGGTCTGCAGCTCTTGTCTGGGGCTTGCCTGGTCCTCACCCTGGGCATGTTCGGGACCGGATTGTGAGCCAAATCAGGGAAGGAAGGAGGGAGGGAGAGCTGAATAATCATTATTATCATCATTATTATTATTTATCATCATCATCATCATCATATAGGGCAGCCCCCCCAGGAAGGAGATCACACAAGAATACTATATTATTATTATTATTGTTATTATTATTATTATTATTATTCTGCCTTGAGTTGCAAACAGAAGCAGGAAAGACAATTAAAATACTATACTATTATTATTATTATTATTATTATTTTCATACTGCTTTGAGCTGCAAGGAGAGGAAGAAAAGATATTGAAATATTATTATTATTATTATTATTATTATTATTATTATTATTATTCTGCCTTGAGCTGCAAAGAGAAGCAGGAAAGACATTTAAAATACTATATTATTATTATTATTCTGCTTTGAATTGCAAGGAGAGGAAGGAAAGATACTTATTATTATTATTATTTTGCTTTGCAAGAAGAAGCAGGAAAGACATTTAAAATACTGTATTATTGTTGTTGTTGTGTCTTGAGCTGCAAGGAGAGGCAGGAAAGACTTAAATTATTATTATTATTATTATTATTATTATTATTATTATTCTGCCTTGAGTTGCAAGGAGAGGCAGGAAATACATTTAAAATACTATATTATTATTATTATTATTATTATTATTATTATTATTATTATTATTATTATTATTATTATTCTGCCTTGAGCTGCAAGGAATGGAAGGAAATACATTTAAAATATTATTATTATTATTATTATTATTATTATTATTATTATTATTCTGCTTTGAGCTGCAAGAAGAGGCAGGAAAGATACTTAAAATATTATTATTATTATTATTATTATTATTATTCTGCTTTGAGCTGCAAAGAGGTGGAAGAAAGACATTTAAAATACGTTATTATTATTATTATTATTTCGCTTTGAGCTGCAAGAAGAGGCAGGGAAGACAATTTTATTATTCTTATTCTTATTCTTCTTCTTATTATTATTATTATTCTGCTTTGAGCTGCAAAGAGGTGGAAGAAAGACATTTAAAATACTTTATTATTATTATTATTCCGCTTTGAGCTGCAAGAAGAGGCAGGGAAGACAATTTTATTATTATTATTATTATTATTATTATTATTATTATTATTATTATTATTCTGCTTTGAGCGCAAGGAGAGGAAGGAAAGACACTTTCAATATTATTATTATTATTATTCTGCCTTGAGCTGCAAGGCGAGGAAGGAAAGATACTTACATTATTATTATTATTATCATATTCATATTCTACTTTGGGCTTCAAGGAGAGGAAGGAAAGATACTTAAATTATTATTATTATTATTATTCTGCTTTGAGCTGCAAGGAGAGGAAGGAAAGACAATTAAAATACTATATTATTATTATTATTATTATTATGCATTGTGCTGCAAAGAGAGGCAGAAAAGATACTTAAAATATATTATTATTATTATTATTATTATTATTATTATTATTATTCAGCTTTGATCTGCAAGGAGAGACAGGAAACACACATTATTATTATTATTATTATTATTATTATTCTGCCTTTAGCTGCAATAATTTATTTCCTGCCTCTCTTTGCGGCTCAAGGCAGAATAATAATAATAGATCTCATTTGCTGTGACATACTGTGCTTTTGTGTCAATAATAATAATAATAATTATTATTTATTTCCTGCCTCTTTGCGGCTCAAGGCAGAATAATAATAATAATAATAATAATAATAATAATAATAATAATAATAATTTATTTCCTGCCTCTCTTTGCGGCTCAAAGCAAAGAGAGGCTTGAGGCATAATAATAACAATAATAATATTTATTTATTACCTGCCTCTCCTTTTGGTTTGAGGCAGAAAAATAATGATAATATTAATAACTTATTTCCTCCTTCTTCTTGCAGCTCGAAGCATAATAACAACAACAACAACTGCATTTTAATCTTTGCTCTGCTTATTTTATTGTTATTATATCTCATCCTTTGGAGGACTTTAGGCAGAGGATGGATGGCCATCTATTGGGACGGATCGGATGGTGTCCTGCCTTTCACGAATAAGTTTGAACGAGATAGTCCTACAGTCTATTACTACTAGTAGTATTATGATGATTTTTTTAATACCCTGCTTTTTCTCTCCTCAAGGTCCGACCTGAAGCGGATGTCTCTGACCCGAAGCGTGGACAACGTCCAGTTCCTGCCCTTCCTCACCACCGACGTCAAGTAGGCCATTCTCATTACTATTCTCATCATCATCGTCGTCCTAATAATTATTACTATTAGCTTGGGTACCCAGTGCGGAAAAAGTCAATTTTTAATGGTACAAAATGCATAAGGTTGTGGTTGATTTTAGGTTGTCGGAAACTGGATTACATTTTTATTATTATTATTATTATTAAATTATTATTGATCATGACAACAACAATAGGTAGGAGTTGATTTGCAAGGATTCTTGTTATTTTCTCAGCAGAGATTAGAAGGGAGATACTTCAATCGATTGATTCCACAATCAGGTCTGCCCTCTATAAAAATTTCAGCGGAGATCCCATCAGGTCCGCTGACTTTGTTGTTTTTTTTCTGATAGCTTTGCTGACTTCTTCCAAGCTAGGCAGCGCTGCAAGCTCATCCTTGGTTTGTTGTTGCAGGATTTGCAAGAGAACCTCTTTGGCTATTATCATTAACAAATTATTATTAATAATGACAACAACAACAATAGGTAGGAGTTGATTTGCAAGGAATCTTGCTCATTTTCCCAGCAGAGATTAGAAGGGAGATACCTCAATCGATCGATCGATTCCACAATCAGGTTTCTCCTCTTTAAAAATTTCACCAGGGATCCCATCAGGTCCGCTGACTTTGTTGTTTTTTTTCTGATAGCTTTGCTGACTTCTTCCAAGCTAGGCAGCGCTGCAAGCTCATCCTTGGTTTGTTGTTGCAGGATTTGCAAGAGAACCTCTTTGGCTATTATCATTAACAAATTATTATTAATAATGACAACAACAACAATAGGTAGGAGTTGATTTGCAAGGAATCTTGCTCATTTTCCCAGCAGAGATTAGAAGGGAGATACCTCAATCGATCGATCGATTCCACAATCAGGTTTCTCCTCTTTAAAAATTTCACCAGGGATCCCATCAGGTCCGCTGACTGTTGTTTTTTTCTGATAGTTTTGCTGACTTCTTCCAAGGTAGGTAGCGCTTCAAGCTCATCCTTGGTTTGTTGCAGGATTTGCAAGAGAACCTATTTAGCTATTATTATTATTATTATTATTATTATTATTATTATTATTATTATTATTATCATTATCTCTTTATTGATGTCCCACCTTTCTCTCCATCGGGACTCAATAAATGCACAATTAAGTGTCGGCCTCCCTTTGTGTTTCTCCGCGCAGCAACCTGAGCTGGCTTGGCTATGGGGCGTTGAAGGGGGATTGGACCCTGATCATCGTCAACGCGGTGGGGGCCGCCCTCCAGACCCTCTACATCCTGGTCTACTTCTACTTCAGCACAGAGAAGGTGAGGAAGGGGGCTCCTTGAGGTCATCAAGTCCATGTCAATCCCAATTTCTCGCATGGGCTTTTCCAAAGGAGAGCTTTGCAAGGCTCAAGGCGTTCCGCGCTGTTGACTCAAAAGGGCCGGGGCCCTGAATCAACAGGAGGCGAGTGGATCATAATGTTTCCTGTTTGGCACCATTCCTGGCGTGGACATTGTTGATGCCTTTTTAATAATGCCGTATGTAGTTATGCATGCATGCGACTCATGCCTCATTAGGAAGGATTTCTTGACCGTAAGAATAAGAACTGTTCAACAGTGGAACTCATTGCCTTGGAGTCTGGCAGAAGCTCCTTCTTTGGAGCTGGATGGCCATCTGTTTGGAAGGATTTGATTGTGCTTTTTCTGCCTGGGAGAATGGGGTTGGACTGCGTGGCCATCTGTTAGGAGGTCTTGGATGGTGTCTTACTGCCTGGAAGAGGAGAGTTGGACTGGATGGCCCTTGGCGATCCCAACTCTAATAATAATAATAATAATAATAATAATAATAATAATAATAATAATTCTATCTCCCTTTCTGGCACAAAATAATAATATGATAATAATAATAATAATAATAATAATAATAATAATAATAATATACTACTACTACTACTACTACTACTACTACTACTAATAATAATAATAATAATAATAATAATAATAATAATAATTCTATCTCCCTTTCTGGCAGAAAAAAGAGGGTTGGACTGGATGGCCCTTGGGGGTCTCTTCCAGCTCTAGGATTCTATGGTTATATTCTTATTCTTCTTAAGCATACACTCAAGAGCCATCAAGTCAAACCTCATTAAGCTGGGAAGGAAGGCACAATTCAATCCTTCCCGACAGATGGACCTCCAGCTTCCACTTCCAGACCTCCAGAGAAGGAGATGATAGATAGATAGATAGATAGATAGATAGATAGATAGATAGATGGATAGATGGATAGATGGATAGATGGATAGATGGATAGATGGATAGATGGATAGATGGATAGATGGATAGATGGATAGATGGATAGATGGATAGACGGATAGGCATATAAATGGATCGATTGATCAATTGATCGTTAAGCAGATAGATGGATGGATGGATGGATAGATAGACCGATAGGAATACAGATGGATCGATTGATCAATTGATCGTTAAGCAAATGGATGGATAGATAGACAGATAGACAGATAGACCAATAGCCAGATGTATGGATGTATTGATCAATTGATCGTTAAGGAAATAGATAGATGGATGGATGGATGGATGGATAGACGGATAGGCATATAGATGGATCAATTGATCAATTGATCGTTAAGCAGATAGATAGATAGATAGATAGATAGATAGATAGATAGATAGATAGACAGACCGATAGCCAGATAGATGGATTAATTGATCATTAAGCGGATGGATGGATGGATGGATGGATGGATGGATAGACCGACCGACCGACCGACCAACTGATAGGCATATAGATGGATCAATTGATCAATTGATTGTTAAGAAGATAGATAGATAGATAGATAGATAGATAGATAGACCGACCGATCAATAGGCATATAGATGGATCTATTGACCAATTGATTGTTAAGCAGATAGATAGATGGATGGAATGGATGGATGGACGGACGGACAAACCAATAGGCAGATAGATGGATCAATTGATCAACTGATCGCTAAGCTGATAGATAGATAGATAGATAGATAGATAGATAGATAGATAGATAAGGCTGATAGATGGATCAATTGATCAATTGATCGTTAAGCAGATGGATAGATGGATGGATGGATGGATGGATGGATAGATAGATAGATAGATAGACTGACTGACTGACTGACTGACTGATAGGCAGATAGATGGATCAATTGATGAACTGACTGTTAAGCAGATAGGTAGATAGACCGATAGATAGGCAGATAGATTGATCGATTGATCAGACAGATAGATAGGCAGATAGATAGGATCATCGAATCCTGGAGTTGGAAGGGTCCCCCAAAGAGGCCATCCAGTCCAACCCCCTTGTGTCAAGGGAGGAAGAGAGACACCACTTGATCCCTCCTGACAGATGGCCATGCCGCCGAATGACCCTTGCTGTGTCCTTAGGGCTCCGTCCTGTGGAAGACGCTGACCCTGGTGGGGGCGCTGCTGCTGGGCTACACCTACTTCAGCCTCCTGGTCCCGGACCTGCCCACCCGCCTGAGCCAGCTGGGCCTCTTCTGCAGCCTCTTCACCATCGCCATGTACCTCTCCCCATTGACCGACTTGGTAAGCAAGCCCCGGCCTTTTTTCCTCCACATATGTGTATTTCTCCCCCAAACGAGTCTCTGGAGGATGGGAACTGTAGTCCCAAGACACCTGGGAGGACCCAGGTTGCATATTTATTATTGTTGTTGTTGTTGTTGTTGTTGTTAGGCCAAGATTGTGAAGAGCCGCTCCACGCGGTGCCTCTCCTTCCCGCTGACCGTCACCACCTTCTTGGCTTCGGCCAGCTGGACCTTGTACGGCCTGCTCCTCGAGGACCTCTACATTGCGGTGAGACCCCCTCTCTAGGCATCCTAATGAGCAAGCTCATCCTTGGTTTGTTGTTGCAGGATTTGCGAGAGGACCTCTTTGGCCATTATTATTATTATTAACAAATTATTATTGATAATGACAACAACAACAATAGGTAGGAGTTGATTTGCAAGGAATCTTGCTCATTTTCCCAGCAGGGATTAGAAGGGAGATACCTCAATCGATCGATTCCACAATCAGGTCTGCCCTCTTTAAAAATTTCAGCAGGGATCCCATCAGGTCCGCTGACTTTGTTGTTTTTTCTGATAGCTTTGCGGACTTCTTCCAAGTTATGTAGCGCTGCAAGCTCATCCTTAGTTTGTTGTTGCAGGATTTGCGAGAGGACCTCTTTGGCCATTATTATTATTATTATTATTATTATTATTATTATTATTATCATCAAATAATTATTGATAATGTATTGTCAAAGGCTTTCATGGCCGGAATCACTAGATTCTTGTGGGTTTTTTCGGGCTATATGGCCATGTTCTAGAGGCATTTCTCCTGACGTTTCGCCTGCATCTATGGCAAGCATCCTCAGAGGTAGTGAGGTCTGTTGGAATTCCTTGTGTCTTGGAACAGTTTCTCCCCGTAGAGATGTTCAATGTATTGTCGAAGGCTTTCATGGCCGGAATCACTAGGTTCTTGTGGGTTTTTATTATTGATAATGACAACAACAACAATAGGTAGGAGTTGATTTGCAAGGAATCTTGCTCATTTTCCCAGCAGAGATTAGAAGGGAGATACCTCAATCAATCGATTCCACAATCAGGTCTGCCAT